ATTAAGAATACAGTAAGATATCTAGTCCAAAGGCCAACCCACATTGACCGGAAAGAGACTGATTGCAGCTCATTTGCTATTAGATCAAGTATAAGATCTTCAAACCATCGCTGATGTAGTGTGAAAATTATAATTATAATTTGACCTATAATATAATTATAAATTTAGAATAAAAGTCAAGAAGCACGTCTATTCCATGATTTAAAAGTTTGATTTATGGCACCTCTCACTAAAAATAGCAATCTTTTCATTCCAGGCTTATGAGAGATCCTTGTCCTCGTCCTCTCTCCAGCTTCACCCAATTTATATATAATTTTGATAAAACTGTAGCTACAGTTCTTCCGATTGATCCATTCCCACTCCCTCCTTCAGAGGCGGAGCCTTTCACCTCTCTGCCTCCATCCTCTAGAACGTTTCCAAAGTCACTTTGCTCTTTAATTTGACTTTTAATCTGACATGTGCTTGCTTGCTTACTTGTCTGTTTAGCTTTCTCTCTGTCTGTCTGACTCTCTCATTGAATAACTTCTGCGGCCTATTATGCAGGCACAAATACACAGGAAAACTGAGTCCGTTAGCCCTCCAAGAGCTGAACAGTTTACATCAATATATTTAAGTGTCTTTTAGCAGTCCTATTAAAAGGGAACTGTACCCGATTGAAGAGAAAGCACCCCTGCTCTCTGTGGTCAGTGTCTATCAGCCACTGATTTCCCTGCTCTGTTGTCCAAAACTTTATTTTGTCAAACCCTTTGACACGCAGCATAAATGCTGCTCCTCTCATAATGACCGCAAAATGAGGCTAGTCTATCGACTGTTTTAATGATGAGCCTTCATTGCACTTGGACAATGAATGTCCTTAATATAGCAGAGGAGGTGGTGCAGAGGCTCCTGGAGAGCTCACAAGTGATGCCTCGTACAATTTACGCCTCCTCCTCCAGCACCTTCAGCACGCATATTGGAGGGTGAATATTTTACAGAAAAGGCCAGTTCCTGCCTATGCATCGGCATAATTGGCCTCTTTATTAGCAATGATGCACTTTACACCATTCTGGTGAACTCATTCTGTACCGGCTCAATGTTCACAAGGAATTTCAAAGGGGAAATGGAAAGCAGCTGAAAGAAGTATTGAACAGTCCTGTAGTGTAGTGGAGATATTGAGGGCTGGTTGAAGGCATTGTTTTCTTTATACAAACAAATCGGCAATGTTATCACCTCTAATTATCTCCCCTCCACTCCTTTATTGTTCTGCTCTCTGCAGTTCTATCCGTGCTCTTTGGTTCTGCTCCTAAGTGCCGTTAAGCGAGCAACTGCACTTTAACAGGGCCATATCTCATTCATTACAACCTTATGTTCAAGACTTGGAATAACTAAGTAAATATCCAATGACACGTTAGACCACAAGATCAGTTTGGCTGAAGAAAGCCCTTCGGCCCATTTTGATCTCATCCCTCCAGACCACCTACCCAACTGACCCCTGGTCTGTGGTTGATCATTGACTGAGGTCCTGGGTGCTAACACTGACCTCTGTTCTCTTGGGTTAGCGTAGGAGAAAACACCAGTGAGGGAGCTTTTGTGTAAAATATTCATCATTAAAACAGTTGATGGGCAAAATTCCACTTAGCCTGTAAGACCAAATCGATGTAACGTTTAAGATTGTCCAAAGCTACGACTTTTGCTTAAGGCTCAACTTTTCGACTGCACCTATGGACACCTTCCACTTCTCCCTTCCTCGGTATCTAACTCGTCACCATCTGAGACGCTATCCTGAGTGAAAGGTGCTGTGTAAATAAATGCAAGTTGTTGTGCAGAACTTAAATTCAACTTGAAATGTGGAAGTCTAAATCGAGATTGAATTCAATGATTTCCCAGTTCTGTGCAATTCACACTGGGCTCTAAAACTTAGGAATTTTGTGCCTCTGATCACTATTGGAACAGCACCAAGCAAGAGTCAGAATCAGCACCCGATCATGTTAGGGCTGGGAGAGATTTGCAAACTTTTGCATCAGTGTTATTCAGAACGCAAGGCATAACTATGAGAGCTGAGGGTGGAAAGGTTTCAGACACTAAAGCATGGCAGAGATTTGCACCGCTGAATAAATATCCAGCAATTGAATTACATTATTTTTGGGTGCTGGCACAAACACACAGCAACAATCCGCTTAATGGTGCTGTTTATTTGAATAGCATGCTGAATGTTTATTCAGTGAAGTAAGCTTGTCTTCAAAGTACAACTTGCTGTCTTTCTGTGGCCAAATTGGTGGCTGTATGTACCTACATAATACACAGTCACTGCAATTCACAGTGAATCCCATGACGCGCTTTGAGACGTCCTCCCGATATGAAAGGGCGCTATATCAAATAGAATCATAGAAATTCACAGCACAGAAGGAGGCTCTTCGGCCCATTGAGTATACTGGCTCGGTGGGCCAAACTGAAAACCACCTCTCAGAGCAAGCTGTCCTTTCAATTCCACCCCATCCCCACACCCCTTCAAGCTTGTCTACTTCCTTCTTGTAACCCACAATGGACTCTGCCTCTACCACCTCACTTGGCAGAGCATTCCACATCCCAACAATCAGCCCTGATCAAAACAAATTTTCCTTTCGCTCTTGTAGTGATTATCTTCCGACTACTGTCCAACCAATGGAAGTAAGCTTATATGGATAAAAAGGATTTGTTTTTCCTGAACTTGCCTTGAAAATGCTAAGAGCTTATCTCATGCGTGCAGTTTCTAGAGCTAAATGGACCTTCAGCAAGGTCCCTGCATTCTGATTACTTGTCCTGCTCTGGCAGACGAGCCCATCAACAATCTGATTTGTTTATTGTGAGCACAAAGGTAGCAAATGTTAGTACAAATCTCCTCTGAATGCCCCAGTGGATCAAGGTACCATTCAACAACAACAGCTTGCATTTATATGGCGCCCCTCACGCAGGGTAGTGTCTCAGCACTGGGTCTTGCAGAAGGAATGACAACTCTGGGGCTGTGGTGAGTTAGCTGATCTCAACTGGGGCTAACCTCTACACCCCTGGGTCAGGAAGGGGAGAATTATCTCAGATTCCTGATCACTGCTTAGAGCCTTTGCTGGATTGTGTAATATATTGTCTTTGTGCATCCAATCTGCCAGTCTCTGACTTTGAAAAGGCTCTTTACACATTTGGGTTAAAAATAATTTTAAATATTCTCCATGACGTAAGGAACCTTTCTGCCCACAGCTCTAATTAAAACACACAAAAGCCTCAGCTCCTGCCCTCTTATCCTGCTTAGATTGCAGATGAGGCATCAGCTATATGGATCTGAAGCACTTCACATCTATCCATCTGCCTCTGCCTGTACCAAGAGGGCACTTCATTCATTCAGTCAGTGGGAGTGAATGATAATTTTCCTTCCCAGTGAGTGACAGAGAAAAACAATAACAGATGCATCTAAATAATCACTTGACAGTTGTTGCAGATTTTGAGAATAAATTTACAGGCTAACTAAGAATTGAAGAGGTCATCCCTGTGCTATTTATTTGCACTAGGTTTGGTTAAAATCCTGACTGGTTCTTTCAAAAATCTGCCCGTTCAAATCTATTGCCTGTCGTTGGGCATTGCAATGATGTGACTCGGATTGAATAGGAAGGCAGTGCCCATTGCTGGAGAGAGCCTTTGATTGAGCCAATGCACTCCTCCTAACAACAAGTACCTAGTTACAGACTGTCAACACTAAATACTCTGATTGCTTACAAAAGCATCTTCCCCCATCCTGCACCCTAGTCTTTTGTCCTTGTGGGATTTTCCAGTATTTTCCAGTAAACATCTATTGAAATGGATAGTGATCAACGTATATGGTGCTAAGCTAGGTCTGTTAAGGGTCTTATTATTTGTATAGTGCCTTTCACATTGTGGCATCCTTCCATCCTGAAAGACACTATATAAATAATAATTCTTGCATTTAATACAGCATTGAGATGTCTCAAAGTGCTTCACAGAATATACTGTAAAGTGGAGTGACTGTATTTTGTGGGTGAAACAATGCAGTGTCGCACAAACAGCCATGGAGTGATTCACCAATTTTATCTGGGGGATTGTTAGCCAGGACACCGGGAGAGAGAAACTTGCTTCACTTTGAATAGTGCCATGGGATCTAACATCCACCTGAACAGACAAATACGACCTTGGTTTAACATTTCATCCGAAGAACAAAATGCAAATATGTGTTGTATTAAATTGAGTATTGGACAAGATTTCGCTTTTCAGGTAGGAGAGGGGGAAAATTCTAGAGGAGAGGGGAGTTCCAAATAACCAATGGGACAACAACAACAAATTACATTTGTATAGAGCCTTTCAAGTTAGGAGGACGTTTCAAAGCGCTGAACAGTCAGGGATCTGCACCCAAGCTGGTGGTTGGGATCAGGAGGGGTGGAGGGTGGGAGGGTAGGGGTAGGAGGGTGACTGAAGACATGGTCAAAGAAGAGGGTCTGGAGACAGGTCCTGAAGGAGGAAAGGAAGGGGGCAAGGTGGAGGGTGGGGCAGAGAGGCTGAAGGCCCACCCGCCAATGGTGGGGTGAGAAAGCCAGGGGACGTGAAGCAGGCCAGAGCTCGCTGAATGGAGGGAGAGGACAGGTTGGAAGGGAGTTAGGATATCACGGAGCTAGGGAGGAGCAAGGCTGTGGAGGACTTTGAAGGTGAACCTTTTAGAAAGAGTGGTTTATGTACTGGTGCAGCATTTAGTCATGATTCAAATTAAAAGAATAAAAACTAACAAGTGCTTTTCTAAAAGTGTGCAAATTCTAATGGTTTTCTGATCCTTGTATTTTTAGCTTCATTTCTTCTTAGGTTGCTCAAACTTGTATGAATAGCTGCTCACCTGCCTGGTCTCGGCCACCGCATCAAACCTGTTGTTGTTCTTTTTTATCGTTACTCTTTCAGCGACTGACCCGGTGCAATAGAAAACCTCTCTCTTTTACTTTCAAAGAAATGCATTTGGTTTGACCCACAACTTGCAGTTTAGCGAAGGATACTTGTGATCAAAGTTGTACCACATACGGAAAAGCCACGCGCTTTCAGTCTTTGTGTCATTTGTACTGTCAGCAATCTGCGGAGAGAGAGAGAGAAAAACAATTCTAGTTTAGGAATGGGCTGTCTCAGTATTAAAGGAAGACAAAGAGCTTGTTTTCTCACAAAGAAGAAATAGAAAAGGCAATACCACATGATTGAATAGCCCCACATTGCATAAGGTTTCTCATTAAGTACGTAAATTGCAATGTCTAACCAGAGGAAATGAACTGTGTGGAAAATCAGCAGATATTATGGAAGGGAAAAAAAACCTTCATGAAGCCTTTTATATCTTTGAGTCAGAACTTCTTATTTCTTTTAACACAACTACCGCACTCATAAATTAGCCAGCCTATGCTGTGTTTAATGAACAAGATGTACATTATACATTTTATATCTATCCTCCCCCTCCAATTTACTCCTCCTATAACTCTTGCTGGGTAAAGCCGATGTGCCTTGGCTTAGCTGTTATACCTCTTTCTGCAAGCGATCAACCTTTATGTGTGAGCGTGGGCAGGCAGGCCTGGTGACCATGGCACACTATCACAGTCAAGCCCACAGTGTCATCAGTCAGTGCCCACTATGAAGCGCTCTGAGACGCCGTCCGGCGTGGAGGGCGCTATATAAATCCAAGTTGTTGTTGTCCACACTTCAGCAGGGATCACTCGACAGTAACCTTCCACCCTTCCTACCCACATCACCATTGGTGGCTGTGCTTTCAGCCATTTATGCCTCTAACCTATGGAACTCCCTGCCTCAATTCCTCCACCTCAGCCCCTTTTAAAATTATCTTTAAATCCCTCTTTAGACCTAGCTCTTCAACCACGCCTATGAGACGCCGTCCGGCGTGGAGGGCGCTATATAAATCCAAGTTGTTGTTTTCGGTGGTGGTCACCTCTCCATTCTCTCTAGCTTGGCGTCTCCGTGCAGTGCTCTGAGGCGCTGTCTTGCATGAGGGGTGCTGTGTAAAATGCATGTTATTTTTTCCTTCCCTCTCCCCACTTTGTAACAGATTGTCCTTCCACCATCACCCTAACTGAGGTCCAGTTACTTATCTTTGGACCTTCGTGGTCTACCTGGCTCATTTCCATTGCTTTTCCAAATAAGCCATTCTCCCACCCACCCTCCCCGACTCATTAATAGGGCAATTTTTTTTTACAATATCCACTTGTTTGGATGAACATTTCACACATTTGCAAAATGGACTGCAAAGTAATACACTTCAGCAATGCCTTACACTTTCTACAATTAAAGACCATTTACTTTGCAGAGGGCAGATGTGAAGCTGGTTAAATTCTTGGAGGAAAGAACATGACATTCCTAAAATGATTTGTTTTCATGGGAACAGCACCGTGAATGGGAATATTTAATAAAGATAGAACATGCATTGAGACGTGTAACCGAGCTCCCGTTTTCCTGTTCGAGTGGGTGTTAAAGGTCTCATGGCACTATTCAAAAAGAGAAGAGTTTCTCTCTCCCGGTGACCAGGCCAACAAATCCCCAGATGAAATTCATCATTCACTTCAGGGCTGTTTGTTTGACATTGAGGTGTGCAAATTGGCTGTTGCTTCTGCCTACAAAATACACAGTCACAGTGCTTTGAGCTGCCCTCCTGATTTGAAAGGCGCTATATCAATTGTAAGTTATTATTATATTGCATCTTATCACATCAAAAAGCTTGAAGCGCTTCACAGTAATTGCTGTCAAGTCTCGTGACTGTTTTTTGAAAGCAAGCTCAGCCACATTTTGCGCACAGCAAGCTCCCACACACAGTCACGAGGTGAATGACCAATTTATCTTATGTTAGTTGCTGTCAACCTCTGCCCTTGAACACCACTGTGATAGACACGAAGTGTGTCTGCGTGGTGCAGTGGTAGCATTCTCGAGTCAGAAGGCTATGGGGTCAATCCCACGCTGGGACCTGAACTCACATAGTCTAAGCTGACACTCCAATGCATCAGCTGCATTGTCTGAGGTGCCGTCCTTCGGATGAGAGGTTAAACCGAGGTCCCGTCTACTTGGACGTTAAAGATCCCATGGCACTATTTGAGAAGAGAAGGGAGTTCTGGCCAACAATCTCCCAAATAAAATTGGTCACTCACTCCATGGCTGTTTGCGGGACATTGCTGTGCACAATTGTGCTGCTGCATTTGTCTACGAATACACAATCACTCAGTTTCACAGTAAATCCTATGAAGTGCTTTGAGAGGTCCTTCTGACGTGAATAGGTTTTGCAACCAATGCAAGGATTATTATTATTAATAAAGAATGGGGATGAGTGTCTAAAGTGAACTCCACTCGAACAGCTTCACCGATGTTAACGCCATAGGAGCCCGATGAACATGGTGTGTAAACTCTAGGGACTTTTATTTATGGACTTGCAATGAGATTCCCTGCTGTTAGTGTGGACTGAAAGTTCAAGAGACAAGCAGGCGATCAGGTTTAGCGATTGCACTGTGAGAGGGTTGGGAAAGCTGTGTGCACTGAGAGAAATTAACAGAAGTACAGTAGCATTATCAGCAAGAGGGGATAGGGTCAAATGAGTGGCAGACGTCTGCAGAGGGTATAAGTCTGATCACTGTACTAAAGAGGCAGATAAGGAAGCCACTGATCCCAGGATAAGGGAGATGAAAATAGCAAAGCCTCTATAATTCACATAAAAACACAGGTTAAATGGTTATTCATCTTGCTGCTACTTTGTGAGGATGTGGCTGGAGCACACGAGAGTTTCCATGTTTGCTTGCACAACTGTCACACTGAAGTAACTAATTGTGTGAAGCACGTGGAGATCTTTTGGTAAGTTGCTACATCAGGCACAATCAACTAAAATGCAACACAAGTGTATGCTAGCCGTACGTACGGTCACTGAGAGTCAAGTTACAGCGTTAAGCAGGATGCATGGTTCTCTAGGAAGGCTGGAGTTATTTTGACAGTCTGGTCTGGTTTGTTTGGGGGGAAGGGGAAATTCACCAGGGATGCTCTCTGCTGCATTGTTCAAGCTAGCTTGACCCTGATCTGGCCACGCGTGGAGGCCTGGCTCAATCTGTCTGCTCCACAAGCCATTCAAGTGGAAATCAAAGCCTCCGCTCCACTGAGATCAGGAAACAGAATCGTCACAGATGTCTTATCAATGATCATTTCGTTAAATGGCAACAGTCTGCTGCAATGCATCGCATTAATCACAAGTGCGTTTCTTTTAAAGTCACTCTCTAGAAATAAATCAGCCATCCATAGGTTATGTTAAAAAGACAACAGCACCCTCTCGATCTGTCAAAAAAGACCAAATTTGGTGGGTAATCAATACCGAGAATCTATCGAATACTGAGCCTGGAACATTTAAGGGAGAAACTGCTTAGATGGAAAGTGTTTCCCTGACAGTAAGTTTATTTTTAATAACATTCCCTTTCATTACTGATTTGCCCCCCACACCCCCCGTCCTTTTCTTGAGACACCCCAGCCTGGCGAGAAAGGAAAGGGTCTTGCTAACATCTCTGCATTCTGCAAACAGTGCAAGAGGTGTGTGGTCATTGTGAATGACTCCTTCAAATCCCATCACACCCTGGCACCTCCCTACTTTTGCGATCTGCTTACTTCCCAACCTGCTGCCTTTGCTCGGCTGGCTATGGCCCTCTGCTTATCCCTCATGTCCTCTGTTCCACCAACGGTGGATGTGCTTTCAGCCACTACGCCCCGAAACGCTAGAACACTCTCCCTCCTTCACTATCTTCAGATCGCGACTGAAGACCTTCGTCTTCCACCCGGCTACGGTCACCTCCCTCCTTCCCTCCGGCTCGGCCTCATGCTCCACTACTATCAAGCACTCTGCGACGCTACCCTGCTAAATAAAGGCAAGTTGTTGTTGTGAAGTGGGACTGAGGAGGGAGGAAATCAATGCAGGATTAGTCAATGTCTTATCCTCATCCCCAGCTTGGGCTCCTGGATCGCTCTGTGAAGTGCTTTGAGCTGTCCACCTGATGGGAAAGGCACCATACAAAAGTAAAATTGTTGTGTACCCTATTGGTAGGAATTAAAATCAAGTAACCGTGTAAGGAAGTCTAGTGCTCAAACTCTGCTGGGCCAGCAATTCTTAAGATCAAACAAGCTACTGTTTGCAAATTCGCTTCAGGATTATTATTTCAGGCAACAGAAAAAGCACAAATGATGTTTGGAAGCATTTACTTTTCCGGTTTGATGCCTTTTTTTTGTCAATAGGAGATAATTAGCACATATTGTGAGCTTCGCTTCTTCCCTATCAGCCTCTGCTTCAGGCCTCTTGAGATCTTTTGTTATCCTTACAAAAAAATTTAAATTCAAAAGAACTGGACTGTTTTGGTAACTTTGGGGAAGTGGGATTTCCATATCCTGCCAGCAGAGATTAACCCTCTCTGTCTCTGGAACTTCTAGTGTTAAAGCATTTCCATTATTTGCCAACTGTGCATTGTAGGAACACTTTTTTCATCTTAACATAAAATATGGAACAGGAAAGGACTATTTGCCCCATCAAGGCTTCTCCTACTAGGTCGTGAATTCTATCCATCTCCTATACCTCCTGGGGAAATTCTGCACAGTTACTGCCTGATCCCAATGCTATTGAAACAAAAGTCTCGGAATATTCATCCTTGGCTCAGCTCCTGGTGGGATTGAAAAGGTAGACCCCAAGCAATGTTTCGATATCCCAACACAGCAGGACAAGAGGTCACAGATTTACGTTGTGAAGAACAATTTTAGGACAGACATCAGGAAATATAAATAATAAAATAATATCCCTTGCATATGTTTGCTACATATTAATATATATGAATTATATTAATATATATTTGATATTTATTGATATATAAATATTGATATATTTGCCGCATTTTCGCCCACCAAATTCACTTTACAGTATATTCTGTGAAGCGCTTTGACACATTTCAATGACATGATAAGGTGCTATATCAAATGCAAAGATTATTATTATATAGCCTAACATGTCATCGAGTTGTTTCAGAGCTCTTCAAAGGATACATGGTAAAGAGGTCTGACTATGTATATACATTT